TCCAGGAATGGACAGAATACCCATCAAGATGTTTCAACAAACGATGCCATGCTGGAGGCACTTACTCACCTATGCCAAGAAATTTGGAAGACAGCCACCTGGCCAATTGACTGGAAGAGATCCATATTTACACCTATTCCAAAGAAAGGTGATCCCATAGAATGTGGAAATTATTGAACAGTATCATTAATATTGTGCTGAAGATAATTCAAAAATGGTTGCAGCAGTATATTGACAGGGAACTTCCAGAAATGCAAGCTGGATTCACAGGAAATAGAATGAGGGATATCATGGTTGATATCAGATGGCTTTTGGCTGAAAGCAGAGAATATCAGAAAGATGTTTACTTGTGTTTTATTGACTGTACAAAAGCATTTGACCATGTGGATCATAACAAATTATGGATAACATTGAGAAAAATGGAAATTCCAGAACACTTAGTTGCACTCTGGTGGCATAGTGCCTAAGACAATTCACTGCTAACCAAAAGTCTGGCAGTTCCAGCTGCTCCTTGGAAGGAAGATTGGGCAATCTACTTCCGTAGTGATACTGCCTCAGAAACCCAAAGAGGGGTCGCAATGAGTCGGATCTGACTCAACGGCAGTGAGTTTGTTTTTTTTGGTTTATTTGTGCTCATGAGGAACCTGCACATAGACCAAGAGGCTGGCATTTGAACAGAACAAGAGGATTTGTTGTTGTTGTTGTTGTTGTTGTTGTGTGCCGTCGAGTCGGCCCCGACTCATAGCGACCCCTCCTTGGGTTTCCGAGGCAGTATCACTACGGAAGTAGGATTGCCCAACCTTCCTTCCGAGGAGTGGCTGGTGGGTTTGAACCGCCAGCCATCTGGTTAGCAGGCAAGTGTCTTAGCCACTATGCTACCAGAGCTCCCAAACAAGAGGATACTGCATGGTTTTAAATCAGGAAGGAAGTGTGTCACGGTTGTGTTTTTTTACCATACTTGTTTAATCTGTATGCTGAGCAAATAATCTGAGAAGGTGGAGTACGTGAAGAAGAGTGTGGCATCAGGAATGGAAGAAGAGTCATTAACAACCTGTGATATGCAGATGACATAGCTTTGCTTGCTGAAAGTGAAGATGACTTGAAGCACTTACTGGTGAAGATTAAAGACTACAGTCTGCAGTATGGATTATATCTCAGCATAAAGAAAACGAAAATTCTCATAACTGGACCAACAAGCAGCCTCACGATAAATGGAGAAAAGATTTGAACTTAGCGAAGATTTCATATTACTTGGTTCCACAATCAACACCAATGGAAGCAGCAGTCAAGACAACAGATGACATATTGCACTAGATAAATCTGCTTCAGAACCCCTCTATAAAGTGCTGAATTGCAAAGATGTCTCTTTGAAGACTAAGGTGTGCCTAACCCAAGCCATGGTGTTTTCAGTCACCTCATATGCATGTGAGAGCTGGACAATGCATAAGGAAGACAGAAGAATAGTTGATGCTTTTGAATTGTGGTACTAGTGAAGAATACAGAAAGTACTATGAACTGCCAAAAGAACTAACAGATCTGTCCTGGAAGCAGCACAGCCAGAATGCTTCTTGGAAGCAAGAATGGCCAGACTTTGTCTCACCTATTTTGGTCCTGTTGTCAGAGGAGACCATTCCCTGGAGAAGAATATTATGCTCGGCAAAGTGGAAAGTCAAGAAAAGAGGGAAAGCCCTCAATGAGATGGATTCACACAGTGGCTGCTATGATGAGCTCAGATATAGCAAGTGTTGTGAGGCTAGCACAGGACCGGACATTGTTTCCTCCTGTTGTGCGTAGGGTCGCTACAGGTAGGAGCCAACTCGACACCACCTAACAACAACAACATGTTCAAGGGCAAGTTTCCGAGTCTCTTCTGACACCCATTTTGGTTTTCTCTTCCTTTCCTGTCTTTTTAATGACCTTTTTTTTCTTTCTTCATGGACAGTATTCTTGATATCATACCACATTTCATCTGGTGTTTGGTCATTGGTGTTCAGTTTGCCAAATTTTTCTTCATTTGGTCTCTAAATTTAGGTAAGATATAATCAAGTTCATTATTTTGGCTCTCATGGCCTTGTTTTAATTGTCTTCAGCTTCAACTTGAACTTGCATATGAGTGGTTTATAATCTGTTGTACAATCAGTTCCTGGCCTTGTTTTGGCTAAAGATATTGAGCTGCTCCATTACCTCTTTCTACAGATGTAGTCAATCTGATTCTTGTGTATTCCGTCTGGTAAAGTCCACATGTATAGCTGCCATTTATGTTGTTGAAAAAGGTATTTGCCATGAGTAGGTCTTTGATCTTGCAAAATTCTATCATGCAATTTCTGGCATCATTTCTATCACCAATGCCATATTTTCCAACTCCTTGTGATTCTTTGTTTCCAAATTTTGCATTCCAATCTCTAGTAATAATCAATACATCTTGATTACATGCTTAGTCAATTTCAAACTGCAGGAGTTGGTAAAAATCTTCAATTTCCTTGTCTTTGGCTTTGGTTGTTGGTGTGTAAATTTGATGAGTAGTAGCATTAACTGGTCTTCCTTGTAGGCGTATAATCACTGACAGCATTGTACTTCAGGACAGATCTTGAAACATTTTTTGTGATGATGAATGTCTCCCCATTCCTCTTTCATTGTCTAATTCAAAATGGCCAATACTAGTCTGTTTCAGCTAATTCCTGGGATATCGATCTTTATGTGTTCCATATCATTTTTGACGAGTTCCAATTTTCGTAGATTCATACTTCATACGTTCCATGTTCTGATTATTATTAATGGATGTTTGCAGGTATTTTTTCCTATTTTGAATCAGTATATATTTGTTCAAAGATGTAGCTGAGAAGGAATGTTCCAAGCTACCATAGCTTGTGTCTGCCATGTGGATTGATAAGTAAGTGTTTTGATTTTAAGTTCTTTTCTACCAGAGATGTGAGATGTAAATTTAGTATTATGAACCCTCTTTGCTTTCTGTTATGTTACGGGATGCATTTTGACTGGCTAAAATAATCATACATTAATAAGAGTTACAGAATGCAAACAGAAACCTGTACACCAATATTCACTGCAATACTTTTCATAATAAACAAAATGTGAAAGCACCTGAAATGTCCATCAGCAGATAAGTAGACAAACAAAATGTGTACTGTATACGTACAATGGAATATTGTTGTTGTGTTGCTATTTGCCGTCAAGTCTGACCCGAGTCATAGCGACCCCTCCTTGGATTGCTTAAGCAGTATCACTATGGAAGTAGATTGCCCAGCCTTCCTTCCGAGGAGTGGCTGGTTTGTTTGAACCACCAGCCTTCTGGTTAGCAGTTAAGTGCCTTAGGCACAGAATATTAGCATAGTGGCTAAGGCACTTGACTGCTCACCAGAAGGCTGGCGGTTCAAACCCACCAGCCACTCCTCGGAAGGAAGGTTGGGCAATCCTACTTCCATAGTGATACTGCCTCGGAAACCCAAGGAGGGGTTGCCATGAGTCGGGGCCGACTCGACGGCAAACAACAACAAGAAGAAAAAATGAAATCCTGATTCCACAACATGCATGAACCTTGAAAACATTATGCTGAGTGAAATCAGTCAGTCACAAAATGACAAATACTGTATGATCTCACTTACATGAAATAAGCAAATAAAATAACCAAAAATTATTAGTGGTTACCAGAGGGTGGAGGGGGGAAAGGAAAAGGGGAGGTTTTTGCTTAACCAACTAAACACATTGTGTTCATGTTAATGATTGTAGAATAATTTGGTAAAGGATAGCAAAAATAGCTACACAACTTTAAGAATGTAATGTCATTGAATTGCAAATGTGGACGTTGTATTGTTGAATGTTTTGGTGTGTGTATTTTCACCACATTTTAAAAAAAGGAGTTAAATTATCAACATGTAAATAAAAATAAGGTTATTAAAAATAATCAACATAAACTATTCTCCTTCCCTCAAACAGTTGCTATGGGACAAACTTAAAATTCTACTAAATTGTTTCAAGGAAATCTAAAAAAGTAATAAATTCATTGTGTGCATATTTGTGTGTATAACTAATGATAGAAATGTATTTAATCAGTGAAATATTACTTCACTGTAGTTCATTCTTTTATTTGGGTACTAATATGTTGGTTTTTCTGAATAATAGGTTTTTCCTCCCTCTGCAGAGTCACAGTAAAAGATTTTAAAGCATTTTTTAAACCTATGTTTCAGGCTAACTTTTTTCTGTAAAGAGCCATGTTGTATGATAGAATTTATTGGCCATCAAATATCTGCCACCACTGTTCAACTCTGTCCAGTGTAAAAGCAGCCATAGACAGTATGTAAACAAATGAGTATGGTTGAGTTAGAATAAAACTTTATCTACAAAAGTGCACAACAGGCTGGATTTGACCTGTGAATCATAATTTGTCAATCTGTGTTCTCTGTCTTTAAGTAGAGGTATAGACAGTTATTTAATAAATAGTTAAAATGGGATTCAAGGTGTTATGACCTGAATAATACCTTCCATCATTGCTGTTATTTAGGTGAAAGTTGACGGTACACATTCTTTTCATTTTTTAGCTCCTAAGTATGGATACCATGAGTTTCTTACAGTGCTGTTGTTGTTGTTAGTTGCCCTCAAGTTTATTAAGACTCATGATGACCCTATGTGTGCAGAGTAGAACTACGCCATAGGGTTTTCAAGGCATTTGAGTGCTAACCAGAAGGTTGGCAGTTCAAACCCACCAGCCACTCCGCAGATGGAAGAGACTGACCCAGTCTACTTCCATAAAGATTACTGGCTCAAAAAGCCAAAGGGAGTCACTATGAATTAGAATCGATTCAATGGCAGTGAGTTTGGTATAGTTTTTGGTATCCTTTTGGAAGCAGATCACTTGGCCTGTCTTTTGAGGTGCCGCTGAGTGGTTTGAACCTAAACTTTTGGTTAGCAGTCCAGCACGTAATCATTTGCACCAGTTATTCTGTTGCTTTATTTCTGATGTATATCTATGTATAAATATTTTTTAGGAGAGAAGAAAGAGAAAAAACAGCAGCAGCCAGTAGCAGGAAGTGCTGAATCTAAGCCAATAGATATTTCCCGTCTGGATCTTCGAATTGGTTGTATCATTACTGCCAAAAAACATCCTGATGCAGATTCTTTGTATGTAGAAGAGGTAGATGTTGGAGAAACAGCTCCAAGAACAGTTGTCAGTGGCCTGGTGAATCATGTTCCTCTTGAGCAGGTAATATATACACTTAAAATCACATTGATTAAGGAGTTTTGCACAGCTGGTTATTGTAATTGCTATCAATTAGTTGTACACCTCTAAGAAGTTGAATTGTCAGAATTTCTGTGATACATATGTTTACAGTAATGACAAAAAAAAAAAAGAATAGTTGCTGAGGCTGCTTATGTACAACCAGAAACATCATGGGATATGGTTCCTTGGCTTGGAGATTTAGGGTCATTGTTTTGTGGGACATTCCAGTTAATTGGCCTAATAATGTGTTTAGTGCTTCTGTTTTACTTCCTAGTTCTTTGCATAGTGCCTGGGGTCTTACAAGCTTGCAAGCCACCCACAAGGCAGAACAATTGGTCTCTTTTCACCTGGAGGGAGAGGAAAAAGGAGAGTCAGAAATAGGAGGAGGATATGGAATGTATTGCAAATTGCCTCCATGAACAACTGTTGCTTTTGCCATGAGACCAGAAGAACTAGATGGTGTCTGGCTACCATTACTGAACATTTTGATCAAGGATTCTAAAGCAGAATCCTGATCAGAAGGGAGAAAGGGCAGAACAGAATTTCAGATTCTCTTCAGCTCTAGACTTTCTGGAGCTATGAAGGCTTCATTTGCTGATGTGGCACCACTCAAATTGAAGAGAAACAGCCGCAGACATCCATTAATCATCGGAACATGGAATGTACAAAGTATGAATCTAGGAAAATTGGAAGTTGTCAAAAAGGAAATGGAACGCATAAAGATTGATATCCTCGGCATTAGTGAGCTGAAATAGACTGGTTTTGGCCATTTTGAATCAGACAACCATATGATCTATTATGCCGGGAATGACAGTTTGAAAAGGAATGGCGTGGCATTCATCATCACAAAGGATGTTTCAAGATCTGTCCTGAAGTACAATGCTGTCAGTGATAGGATAATATCCATACGCCTACAAGGAAGACCCGTTAATATGACTGTTATTCAAATTTATGCCCCAACCACCAAAGCCACAGATGAGGAAGTTGAAGAATTTTATCAGCTTCTACAGTCTGAAATTGACCAAACATGCAATCAGGATGTGTTAATTATCACTGGTGACTGGAATGCAAAAGTTGGAAACCAAGAAGAATCACCGGTAGTTGGAAAATTTGGCCTTGGTGACAGAAATAATGCTGGAACTCGTATGGTAGAATTTGGCAAGACCAACGGCTTGTTCATTGCAAACACCTTTTTTCAACAACACAAATGGAAGCTGTACATGTGGACTTCACCAGATGGAACACACAGGAATCAGATTGACTACATCTGTGGCAAGAGGCGGTGGAAAAGCTCAATATCTTCAGCCAAAACCAGGCCAGGAGCTGATTGTGGAACAGACCATCAACTGCTCATATGCAAATTCCACTTGAAGTTAAAGACAATTAAAACAAGTCCACGAGAGCCAAAATATGAGCAAATAATCCGAGAAGCGCTGGACTATATGAAGAAAAACGTGGTATCGGGATTTTAGGAAGAATCATTAACAACCTGAGATATGCAGACGATACAACTATGCTTGCTGAAAGTGAGGATGACTTAAGGCACCTACTGATGAAGGTTGAAGAATACAGTCTGCAGTATGGATTACATCTCAACATAAAGAAAACAAAAATCCTCACAACTGGACCAATGAGCAGCATCACAATAAATGGAGAGAAGATTGAGGTTGTCAAGGAATTCACGTTGCTTGGTTCTACAATCGATGCCAGCGGAAACAGCAGTCAGAACATTAGACGACGTGTAGCATTGGGAAAGTCAACTGCGAAGGAACTGTTTCAAGTGCTGAGGAGCAAGGATATCTCCTTGAGGACTAAGGTGCGCCTGACACAAGCCATGATATTTCCAATCGCCTGGTATGCATGTGAGAGCTGGACAATGAATAAGGAAGACCGAAGAAGAGTTGATGTTTTTGAGTTGTGGTGCTGGCGAAGAATGCTGAAAGTACCATGGACTGCTAAAAGAACTAACAGATCTGTCCTGGACGAAGCGCAGCCAGAATGCTCCTGGGAAGCAAGAATGGCCAGACTTCGTCTCACCTATTTTGGTCATGTTATCAGAAGGGACCATTCCCTGGAGAAGGATGTCATGCTTGGTAGGGTGGAGGGTCGACGAAAGAGGGGGAGGCCTTCAGGGAGATGGATTGATACAGTGGCTGCGATGATGGGCTCAAGTATAGCAGGGATTGTGGGGCTGGCGCAGGATCGGGTAGTGTTTCGTTCTGCTGTGCATGGGGTCGCTATGGGTCGGAAATGACTCGACGGCACTTAACAACAACAAACCATTACTGAACATTTTGATCAAGGATTCTAAAGCAGAATCCTGATCAGAAGGGAGAAAGGGCAGAACAGAATTTCAGATTCTCTTTGACTCTAGACTTTCTGGAGCTATGAAGGCTAGATGAACCCTAAAACTGTTACCCTGAGGTAATCTTCAAACCTCAAACAAAAAATACCTTTGAAGTCTTCTTAAAACAAAATAATAGCTTATCTATTAAAAAAACATCTGCCTTGAGCAATTTACTCTTTTAAGCACTATCTATATGGGATCAAAGTGACAACAGCAATTCAAAAGATCAGACAGGAATCTTATGGGGCAAGGAGTTTATGTTAATGATGGAGGAATAACTCGGAAAAGGGTGAAAATGATTGTACAACTCGAAGAATGTGATCAATGTCCCTGAATTACACATTTGAAAACAATCAAATTTGTGTATTTTTTGCTATATATATTCTCTACAACAAAATAAATTAAAAAGTAAAATTACTTCCATATATATAGGTGTCACTTTTCATCACGTTTTTCTTGATGTTTTTTTCATTATAATTCTATGTTAGGTGAACATAAGACATGAACTGATATTAATTGTAGCATTTGATTGAATGTGGTAAATTCTACCAAAATGGAAATAAAACCACTAAAAATGCAAAAGATGTGTAAATTATGCAGATAGAATGAAGAAAAGATGTATTGTTTTTTCTCTATTTTTTAAATACTTTAAATCTGTTTTTTGTATGGGAAGCTATACACAGTACATACATACATACATATATGTTGAAGCATTTAATTAGCAAAATATAAAATATCTAATTTTTTTTTAATTGTCCTTTAGGTGCACATTTACAGAGTAGAGTTTGTTTTATATTCAACATTTTATGTACATTTGGTTTTACTAACCAGTTACCATGGCCAATCCTAACCCACTCTCCTCCCCTTCCTTCCCAGTACCACCACCACCACTCATAGTTACGCACTCCTGTGTGTCCTGCATTTCCTCCATGCCAGTGTGGCCCCTCTGGGGCCCTGTGGTCAATTGCTTCAAGGGATGCATCTCCATAGAGCATGTGGTTCACCCTGGAACATCTAATTCTTAATGAGTGAAAAAAATAAAAAAATACCATTAAAATCATAAATTTGATCTCCATGATTCTCTCTTTACTTTTTTCCGTAAGTGTGCACATATTTATTGAGTTACATAGAAATAAAACTTTTCCCTTTTTAATTAGTGCTCTCTAGATTTAATATAACCATGATTTAACACAGCGACTTAAAAATCAAGGAATACTTAAATTCTATGATAATAAAAATAATGCTGATTGAGTCATTTGTTATAAAGTACTTTATATACCCTGAACTATGTAATTGTTTTATATGTTTTATTCCTTTTAATACTGTAAACAGATCTGTATAAGTAGTAGTATCCTCGTTCATAGATGTGATTTAGGATAGTGAAGCTAATTATTGACATTGAAATTATTCTGTTAACTTCTTTTTCTTTCTCTTTTGTTTATTTAATTGGGTCCATGAAAGAAGGCAGTAGTGAAGGAGAGGTCAGAGTTTAAAGTCCTATCTTTTCTCCCTGGATGGAACAGCATCACAAATATTTTAGAAAACAAATCATACTATAGTTTATATTACTCCATATTCAAAATGTAATCATTTCCATAATAGAAATAGAGCTAAGTATTTAGGATGTGTGAAAACTGGTAATGGCATGCTATTTTGACCTTGCATGATAACTTTTAAAAACAAACTGATACTCCATGATACCCTTCAGGAGCTCTGGTGGTATAGTGCCTAAGACATTTAGCTGCTAACCAGAAGGCTGGCAGTTCAAACCTAACAGCCATTCCTTGGAAAGAAGACTGGGCAACCTACTTCCATAGAGATACCACCTCCGAAACCTAAGGAGGGGTCGCTATGAGTTGGAACCAACTTGATGGCAATGAGTTTGGGATTTTTTGGGGAGTTTTAATACCCTTCAGAACAGTGTCCCCTAACTGCTTCTGTTTTTTTCTTTGTAAGCTTTTAGAGCCAACCTCAATACTTATTTCCTTTCTTCCTTCCTCTTCCTTTACATTTGAGTTTTGTAGTTAACTTTCTTGAAGAATTAAGTAGTGTTGTTGTTGTTGTTATGTGCCATTGAGTCGAACCCGACTCACAGCAACCCCTCCTTGGGTTTCCAAGGCACTGTCACTACGGAAGTAGATTGCCCCATCATCCTTCCGAGGAGTGGCTGGTGGGTTTGAACCGCCAGCCTTCTGGTTAGCAGTAAGTGCCTTAGGCACTACGCTATCAGAGCTCCCAAAGAATAGTAGTTTTTAAAAAAAAATCTGTAAAAAAATATTTTTAATGACAATAGAAAAAATCAAAGATAATAGTGGTTTTAGTTAGCTCTTTCTAGATGTCTTTTATATTAATTTGAATTATCTGCCAATTTTTTTTCTACCCCATGGTATTTCATAGATATTGAAAAGAGCATGGGTATCAACATTAAGATGACTCTGTTTATTGTCATCTCTGCTGTTCTCTTTTGTGCCCTTGAACAAATTCCTACATTCATTCATTCATTCATATTCGTACATACATTGAGCACCTTCAGGCACTATTCTAGATATAAGGATATTATTATGTGTCATCCAGTCACTTCCAACTCATAGTGATCCAAAGGACAGAGTGTGGCTAACTGCCCCATAGGATTTCCTAGGCTGTAATCTCTTCCATAACAGATTGTAGGTATTTTTTCCAGGGGAAAGGCTAGTGGATTTGAACTGCCAACCTTTCAGTTGGCAGCAAAATGCTTAAACATTTCTCCATTAGGAGTCCTTAGATACAAGTGATAAAGAAGTCAAAACAAAAACAACAAAAAAATCTCTACCTTTATGAAGCTCACATTTCTATGAGGGCATCTGAAAATTGTCAGAATATAAGTAAATATATAATATGTTAAATAGTGATAAGTCCCAACAGAAAAATAAAGGAGAGAAGGAATCTAGGAGATGTTAAGATGAGGATAATGTTGCCATTTTATATAAAATGACCAGGAGAGGACTCATAAAGAAAATGTCATTTAAGTAAAAATCTAGGAAAATGAAGAATATAAGTCAGGTGTCTGTCTGGGGGAAGAATATTTCAGGCAGCAGGAACAGCAAGTACAATGGCCCTTAAGCAGATATGTGTCTGAGGTGTTCAATGGGAGGCTGGTGTGGCTCTTTGGAGTTTGTTAGCCACACTGACCTCCCATTGAACATCCCAGGCACACATCTGCTTAAGAGCCATTGAACTTGCTGTTCCTGCTGCCTGAAATAATGGGCGGCTAGTGTGGCTAGAGAAGAGTAAAGAAGGACAGTCAGTCGTGTGAGATAAAAATCAGAATTAAGTATAGCACGTGATACAGGCTCTTACATTTCAGTAGAATCATTCTGGCTCTTCTGATGAAAGATGGAATTAGAGAGATGTGCTAACTTCTTATTTATGAAAAAGAAGATGCTTTTGGTGAGTGCCATTGAGTTGATTCCAACTTATAGCATCCCCATGGAACAGAGTAGAACTGCCCCACAGGGTTTTCTCAGCTATAATCTTTAAGGAAGCAGATTGCCATATCTGTTATGTTATTTTAAAACTGTTGGAAGAATTTAAAGAAGTATATTATTTTTGGTAGTTGGGGAAAAAAAACAAAAAGAGACTTCAACTTTTAAAGATTAAAGAAATTTCTATATACTTTTTATAATAAAGGAGCTCTAGTGGCATGGTAGGAGCTCTGGTAGCATAGTGCCTAAGGTACTTGACTGCTCACCAGAAGGCTGGCGGTTCAAACCCACCAACCACTCCTCGGAAGGAAGGTTGGGCAATCCTACTTCCGTAGTGATACTGCCTCGGAAACCCAAGGAGGGGTCACTATGAGTCGGGGTTGACTCGATGGCAAAAAAACAACAACAACAAGTGGCATGGTGGGTAAAGCTGCGAACCAGAAGCTCAGCAGTTCAAACTCACCATCTGCTCCACAGTAGGAAGAGGAGGCAGTCTACTTCCATAAAGATGTACAGCCTTGGAAACCCAACAGGGATCTCTGTGAGTCAGAATTGACTCAATGGCAGTGGGATATAAATTACAGAAATAGCCCTCAATGTATACTAAATGTATAGAGAAAAATGTTTTAGATACTTGCTATGATTTAATCCTTTTGACAACCTTTATGTTCAATACTATTTCCTTCGTTTTATAAGGAAACCAACTTTATGCATTGCCATTGCTAGTGAATGGCAGCAGAAATTCTAAACCAAGTCTGTTGCACATGTTTATTTTTTAGTTTATTTAGTCTTTCAATAAATACTTAACTCAGAGACCTGTGTTCTTTTGACTGTAATGTATTGTCAGAATTTGTTTTGTTTGTTTGTATGCTTGTTTTTATGTTTAAGATTTCAAAACAACAATAATGTATTTTGGACACACAGATAAATCCGTAAAAGAACATTGATATTTAACATATTAGGTATACTTTGATGTATTCTAATAATATTATTTTAAATCTCTTTAATCATCAATTTATATTTCATGCAGATGCAAAATCGGATGGTAGTTTTACTTTGTAACCTGAAACCTGCAAAGATGAGGGGAGTACTATCTCAAGCAATGGTGATGTGTGCCAGTTCACCAGAGAAAGTCGAAATCCTGACTCCTCCTGATGGATCTGTTCCTGGAGACAGAATTACTTTTGATAATTTCCCAGGTAAATATTTATTAGTAGTTATTTAAAATAGTTTGACAATCATTGTTCTCAAAGCAGTGCTTACAAAATCTAAGGTTAACATCAATCCCACTTGTGAATCATAAGGTTTTATCTTTAAATCATTATTTAATACCCATGCATGTACGCATGCCATAAAGTATCTGAGAGATTCTTCCCCAGGTAAGATAATAATACTAATGCCTGCATAGCAGAAAACTGACAAGAATAAAGAGCAAATCAGTTATACTACAAGATCATTTAAGCTGTAGATTATCTTGGAAGGCAGCACAGAAAGATAAAGAGATAAAAGTTCATACATGAGAGAAAGATGAGTAATTCTCAAATTTATCTAATATGCTTACATATGCTTTTAGTTGATTTTAGGATATAGAGGAAAAATCTTTAAATTGAACTTCACATTTATTTTAATAATCTAAAAGGAAATTTCATTTCGTGTTTGTTTTTTCCAGTAGAAATGCTCCTCAGGCAGATGAAGCTTCATAGTGCATGAGAAAGCTTCTTTAAATAGATCTTTGAAGAAGAAAAGAAAGGATGCGTGACAGATGTAGGATGTTTCTTTCATAAAAGGAGGAGGAACTCATAAGAGGAAAAACAGAAATGAGAAGACTGCATTTATTTAAAGGATGTTTATTTGACTAGAGTAATAGGAAAAACAAATAAATTAGAGTAACAAGTAGAATTAAGTTCAAAAGTCAGAACTGATTTGGAGGCATATTAACAGAAACAGTTCAGTTTTAATGGAAAAGCAAGCTTGATGAGATTATGTAGACTTATTTTTAAAAAGTCCTTTATTAAATGTACGAAGACCTGGTGGCCCAGCTCTTAACTTCTAACCAAAATGTTGGGGGTTCAAACCCACCAGCTGCTCCATAGTGAAAAAAGGTAGCAGTCTGCTTCCGTAAAGATTAACCTGTTCAAGTTAAGTCTGACTCATAGCAACCCTATAGAACTATGGAACAGAATAAAACTGCCCCATAAGGGTTTCCAAGGCTGTAATTTTCACAGAAGCACAGTGCTACATCTTTCTTCTACGGAGCAGCTCTGATGGATTTGAAATACCAATGTTTTTGTTAGCAGCCAAGTGCTTAACCACTGTGCTGTCAAGCCTCCTTCCGTGAATATTATAGCCTTGGAAACTATGGGGCACTTCTACTCTGTCGTACAGGGTGACTATGAGTCTAAAGCGACTCAATGGCAATGGGTTTGGGTTTTGGTATATTGACTGTTTAATGGAATATTTGTTGTTGTTAATGTGCCTTCAATTCGGACCCGACTCATAGCGACCCCTCTTTGGGTTTCCAAGGCAGTATCACTACAGAAGTAGATTGCCCAACCTTATGTGAAAAATTTTTAACAATGACATAAGGTAGAAAATATATGTGAAAACATGGGTTAACTCCTGGAAACTCAGCTACCCCCTCTTACTCAAAGGTAGACTAATCTGAAAAACCAGACTTTTTCAAGTGTTCATGAATTTGGATGCATATATATATATATATATATATATATCTTTAGCCGTTAATAGATTGGAAGCTGTAATGGTATGTTCTCTAAGAACCTTTTTTGGTAAATTGGAGTTTGGGAAAATCCCAGTCTGAATTCTTTCTCAAAGAAAATTGATGGATGGCTTTAGATGCTAGGATCATAATGTTGTTGTTGTTGTTTGTTGCTTTTGAGTTGATTCTGACTCATAGCTCCTATAGGACAGAGTAGAACTGTCCCATAGGGTTTCCTAGACTGAAATCTTTACAGAGCAGATCCCCATGTCTTTCCTTCTGTGGAGCTGCTGGTTGGTTCAATCCACTGATCTTATGGTTACTAGGCGAGTGTTTAAGCATTGTCCTTGAAAGGGCTTTGACACTTAAAAGTTATTTTCTCCAATTACAAAGCCAAAAACCTCCATAGTTTAGATGATGCCGAATATATTTTTATAATAATGCCTAAAATCCTCCTAACCCACCTAACACTTTTTTAAGTCTTAAACATGTGAATCTATAAATTTTAGTATTTAAATATAGTGACTGATTCCTAAAGTACCAAACTAAAATAACTTGAAAACAATATTATACCCAGTGGACAAAGGCAATGACAGCTTTTTATGAGACTACACTATTCATGGGCTAATAGTAAATGAGAATTTATATTCAAACTTTTTAATTTCTAAGATAATAATTATTTCTATCAAAATCTTTTAGTAATATAAATTAAGAGTTAATCCAAAGTGTGTCTAATATGCAAGGGAGGATAATTTTTAGGTCCATTTATTCCTAAAGGAAAAAAAAAAGGTCTATATTTGACTCTCTTCCTACCATTTCTCTAAAACTTATTTCAATTAGGTTTCTTTCACCATACCATTCCACCTGAACTGGTAAAGTTCACCAGTAATCTCCCTATAACTAAATCCATGGTCTTAGTCCTCTTCTTAGCTAACTTGAACTGGCAGCACAGGCTATTCATGATCCTCCTTCTTGTCTGGCTACCCTTCTCATCTCCTTTTATGATTCTTCTTTATCTTCATGACCTCTTAATGCTGAAGTGCCTTTGCCTTTGTTCTTGGCCTCATCTGTTTTTATTTCCATATTCATTCCCTAGGTGATTTTATCCAGTCATTTATTCCAACTGCCATTGAATTTCTCCACTGACATGTACCAATATTTCCCTTAGAATTCTCTTTCTCCTAAGAAGTCCTTTTCGCATGTCATTGATGGCAACATCTGTTCTACCAGGTGCTTAGACCAAACCTTTGAAGTCACACTTCTTCTTCTTGGATGTTGTCAAGTTGGTTCTGACTTAAAATTACCTTATGAATATATAACAACAAAGTGTTCCCTGGTCCTGCGCCATTTTGATCATTGCTGTGTTTGAGTCCATTGCTTTGACTATTCTGTCATTCCATCTTACTGAGGGTTTTCCTCATTTTCACTGACCCTCTACTTTACCAATCACAATGTCTTATTCTAGAGATTGGTCTTACTATCCAGTTATCCAATTATCTTCTAAGGAGAATCCAGGTTGTATTTCTTCTAAAGCTGATTTGTTCATTCTTCTGACAAAAAAACAAAAACCAATCCCACTGCCATCAAGTAGATTCTGACTCATAGCAACCCCCATTGGGTTTCTGAGGTGGTAAATTTTCACAGAAGTACATTGCCCAGTCTTTCTTCTGAGGAGTGGCTGGGGGGTTTGAACCCCCAACCCTCTGATTAGTAGTCAAATGCCTTAGGCATTGCTCCACCACAGCTCCTTATCCATCTGACAGTCCATAGTAAATTCAGTATTCTTCACCAACACCACAGTTCAAATGTATCAATTCTTCCTGTCTTCCTTTTTCATTGTCCAGCTTTCATATGCTAATGAGTCATGCTTAACTCACACCTACATCTTCTCCTGAAATTCCTATTTGCTTTACCTTCTAAACAGAGTTGAAATTATTCTCATCATCTCCACCACTACCACCCTAGTCCTGGCACTGACATCTGTGAACTGGAAAATTGCAAGAGCCTTCTTACTGATCTCCCTGTTTTTGTTCTTGTCCTTCCATTTATTTTCACTCTAGCAGCCAGAGTGATGCTTTTAAAATGTAAGTCAGATTATTTCTGTGCTCAAAACTATTCAGAAGTTTTGCATTTTACTCAGTCTTTATAATGGCATACAAGCCTATAGGATCTGACCTCCCATTATCTCACTAACCTCATGTATTCCGATTCTATTCCTTGATCACTGCAATTGAATTATTGGCTTTTCCCTCAATTTATGCAAGTCTTTTAAATGTCACCTTCTTTGCTTTATTTTCTACAAAGCACTTATCGCCATATAATAGAATATATGTTTTATATAGTCTTCTCACAATGAAATGTAGCCAATTTTTTTTTTTTTTTGTATTCACTGCTTTTGCAGGGCTTCATGTAGGTGCTCAATAATTTGGTCAATGAAGAAGTAGAAAATATTAGTAGTTATTAGTAAAAGTTATTAGTAAAATACTAAAGAATAAAGGAAACAAAAAAATAACTCTATTTCGGAATATTGTTATTGTCGTTGTGAGCCATTGTGTAGTGAAGTGCTTGACTGCTAACTGAAAAGTTGATAGAGTGAACTCACCAACCCGTCTGTGGAGAAGAAGACCTGGCAATCTGCTCCTGTAAAGATTTCAGATCTTTAATGTCACATTGGGTCACTGTGGTTTGGGAATAGACTTGTGTATCTTTTGTCATGATTGCCAAGATTCTTCCTGCCAAACCACCAAACCACTTTTGTCTAATGAATAGCTTTGTGAAATTAATTGACCTTTTATTCATAAAGTTGTCAGTTATACCACAAAAATGAAAATATAACAGCTATTAAAATTCAAGAGTTCAGTTATTCAAACATAAAATAACTGAAGAAGTGCTAAGCTTATTATACCCATGCCAGACATCAAAGGGAAGTTGGTAATAAATTAGTGTATGCAAAAAGATGATCTAATTTAAATTAAGCTTCTGGTTCTTAATTCTGACTTGTGAATGTATAGAAATCTGGAGTTTGTATTTACTGCTTTTTGTAGGTTTTAAACATTGAAAAAGTGATCACACCTTTTAACATTTGGACTTTGTCCTCTCTGAGCTATTTCATTTTCTTGTGTCTTATTTAGAATGAGTTAGCTTAAAAATAATTTCTGAATGATTAGTTCCCTTATAGTACCATTTCCAAATGGTTAAGTATTAGCACATGTTTAGCAATTTCAAAGGCTCTGTAGTTTTTAGTTTTAGAAAATTTTCTTGATATTGACACTTACCTCTATGGATGTTGTTGTTGTTAGGTGCCATCAAGTCACTTTCAACTCACGGCAACCCTATGTACAACAGACTGAAGCAGCACCCAGCCCTCTCCCATCCTCAGAATCGTTGCTGTGTTTAGGCCCATTGTTGGAGTCTCATTGAGGGTCTTCTTCTTTTTCATTGACCCTCTACTTTACCAAGCATAATGTACTGATAACATGTCCA